AGTGATCCTCAGGTTGGAGAAAGGAGCAGAGCCACGGATGATAGAAGAACACCCAAACCAGCGCCTCCCAGGTTAGTAAGCACATCCTGGGCAGAGGCCAGGAAAAGTACAACCCAGCAGATCTTGGCTGTGTTCAGCTGTTTCTAGCAATTTTTCCCCAGATCCCTGAGCTGAGGCTGGCTCATCTCCATGCATCAAATAAATATATAATCTTTTAGATGGACTCACGTATACATATCTCCATATTTTACTGCGCTATTTTAAAAATACATTTTCTTAAATTATAACCTCTACATTTCTCACGTTTGACGTTTATTTTTGCTGGTCACTTTTTCAATATTGTCAGTTGCCTTTGTGTCCTTACTCTCATAGATATGGTTTTTCAGACTCTATCCTTTTGTGTTGCTTAAAACTGACTATCTGACACTTGGTAATTTATAAAGAAACAAAGTATCTTTTACAGTTCTGCTCTGGACCTTGGGCATTCCAAGGTCAAGGGGCTGCATGGGGTGAGGCCCTTGTTTCTGGTGTGGATTCTTGGCAGAATCCCAAAGTAGTGCAGGGTATCACTTAGGAAAAAAAGGTTCACCTGTGAGCCCTGTATACCACCATATCAGAAATTCTGTAGCTGAGGAGGACCTAGCATAGGGGCATGGAAAAAGATAATTCTGTATTTTAGAGAGGAACCAGGAGACTCTGGGTACCAGGGCCAAGTGAACCATGGGTTTCAAGTTGAGAAGCTAAGATTGCTGTTTTGAAGTGGAATTTGAAGTTAGTATTTTCCTCTTCTTTTTGTAAAAATCATTTTAAAACAACAAAGAAAATGAGAGGTATACAGGAGACTCCATTTTTTTATGAGAGTACATCATTCAAAACTCCAGTGCATAATGCCAAAGCTTTGATGAGCAATGAATTATCAAGTGGAAGTGCTTATTTCAGAATTTGGGAAGACAATACAAGTGGATTTTAGGAGTCAAAAATAAAAAAGAGCTTTTTCAAAGGTGATGGGCATATCCTTGGTTGTAGAAACAAATAGTTTAGACCAGCAGGAAAAGTGTGTCTGAATGGGTGGACTGAGGTTTCCTGTATAGTAATGGTTCTGAGAAGCACAGGAAGTCAGGTTTAATGAGTAATTTGTGGGTGGCTATGCTTAGAGTGGAGAAAAGTAGATTTTATTATTTGAAAAACTTCCACATATACCTGTAGCCCTTTCCTATGGAAGAGTAAAAAGTATAATAATGTGAATGCAAAATTCTTAACCTAAGTCATTTTCCTCAATATGTAATGAAAAATTGGCTTGCTCCTGCATCTGAAAGTAGCCAATGAAGGAAAATGTAGCCATATTCAAAACAAAGTAATGAGAAAAGAGCAGCAGGAGAAAACCACTATTGTTATAAAAATAAAACAGTCTAAAAAGTATAAACAAATGGAAGGTGATAACCAAGTATTTCAAAACTACAATTAGGAAGATGGTAAAACTTATCAAATATTTTATCTTGACTTAGAAAAGAAAAAAGTGAATAAAGAAGCAAAGAAAAACATGATGCAATTTTTGAAAATAAATACAACATAACATTTTCAGTAGGAAAAAACCCTATATACTCGTGAAACCAATACCCATTATTGACTTGTACAAAAGTGTTTATTACTAGGATTGTGAGAAGCTTCTCTACCTTTACAAAAGTATAAAATGAAATATTGATATGGTTTTTTTTGTTTTTTGTTTTTGTCATTTCAGATTTCCAGGTAGTTAATGACCTAATTGAGAGCAGCCAAGAAAGTCATGGTAGATACTTGTGGCAAGGTGTAATCCTCAGTGGGAACCGATCAACTGAGGAGAGAGTTGATTTAGGAAAATCATTTAATTTGAGTTCAAAGCATATTTTAAATCTGGTTATAAGTAATAGAACCTATTCAGGAGTGGGCCATGAGGAGTTTAATGTATGTCAGAGTACACTTCTTTTTTTTTTTTGTATTTTTCCATGTCCGGCAATGGATCGCAACCCTCAGTGTTGCCCCCGTACCGGACCGGGGAC